ATGGTAGAGTCACAAACGTCAGTGCGACCGACAAAGACAATGATGGCACTAAGAGGAGGTATGTGAGTATTGGTGGCAACACAAAACTTTCTAACATTGGGTCGGTTGGTGTCTGCAAATGGGGCATTGGCGAACACAGAAAGTTCCACCTGAGGGCGAGCATAGTCAATGATGGCATGGTGACGCGACAAGAAATCGCACCTGACTATTAGATCATGAGAATACGTGGCCAATACTAGAAACTCTATGTGGTACAATATTTCAGGAATGGTGACTCTAGCCATACATGCTCCAACCTGTCTAATTAACTGCCCGTGCGCTGTGCTAAGCAAAAACCTGGATCGTAGCGTCGTTTTTTGCATAGAGTGTCACAATTTTCGGTTAATTACAGATATGGCAGCTCTGGTATCAACAAGTGCCAGAGTTCAGGAACCATTAACAAACAATTCTATAGTATTGGCGAGAAACGGGCAATGATTTATACATTGTGACAATGCAACCCGTGCCTCCAGAGCTGCGACTACCTCTTTTCCACTTCTGGTCGGTGACGCAGAGGTGAAGGAGAACGGTGGCGTGGTGAAGGTGAGCAACAGGGAGCAAACAGTCAGTAGTCGGGAGCAGGTTGGCGGTCTCGGTTGTCTGGTAGTCAGTCATGTCGAGTCAGTGGGTCTTGTCACGCGTTGTATGGGGCACAGAAACTGTTGTTAGTGCCGCTGAGCACCATCAAGGGAAATGCGCGACATGTCTTGGAGAGTGTAGCAAGGTTGTCTCATCGGCTGCACCAGGGGTTTGTGTATCACTGCTGTGTACTAGGCATCATTTGTACTTGCACTGGTTGAGGAATCAACGAAGGTAGGAATCGCGGTGAACTATCAGCAACAGCCACATAAGTCAGTGACACGCCAACAGCTGTTGTCTGAAAAGCAGATGGCAGTGCCTCGGACAACTGCACCTATATCGCCTGTCTGATAATGGGCACGAAATGCTGAGTAGTGGGTTCCGTTGTGAATAGATACGACAAGCAGGAACGTTGTTGAACCACTTCTTCGTGCACTTACCATTTTCAGACATTAGAGTGTGCTGTGCTCACTACTGATACTTAATGCCGCCAGAGTTTTGTCTGCAGCCGATGGTCACCATGTCAAGACCCCTTGCTTCCGCAACTCCTAGAAGCACTGGCACAGAGCGGCAAGTCCACAAACTGTACGTGGATCCTTGGCCAGCAGCATTTGAAAGGCGTCATCTGCACCTTCATAATGTGTCTTATATTGTCTGCTCTGCTTACCTCATTGAAGAGTTAAGGTGCTTGCACAAGTCGAGCATGTCTTCAAGGTAGCTTGTGAAGCTTTCTCCCTGCAGATGTGCACGCCCCTATAGGCGCCAGTAATGTTAACTTAGCGAATTTAGCGCTTTTTTCAGTCGTGCTAGCAACAATTCTCTCTCTTTGGAGTCTTAATGACTTTTTGGGAGACTTTCGAAATTTGAGGTAGGAGTGTTTTCAGAAAATTATAATACTGCAAGAATAGTGGAATGCTCGAAATGAGCAATCTTTAACGTGCAATGTTCCCCGCACTCCTTATGTTCCAGTTAGAGAAGGACTAAGCAGTTTTGAATGGCAGTTGAACGGCTCCTGGTTCACCGCAAACAGGTGGACTACAGCTGCTCATTGGTTCACAGTGGTGTAGCCAGGAGGTGGCACCACAATCCAACTTTATTCGCCACAACAAAAATTTATTTGCAATATTATTTAAATAAAAATAATCTCTTCACATGCTTTACCAAATCAAAAACTAAGGAAAAAACTTGCATTATCATGCCTTTTAGCGACTTCTGGCTAGAAGTGGTCGGAAGTGTCCTGGCGACTTTGTAAAAAAAAGTTAAGACCGCTGGTAGGCGCTGTTCAGCACGGAGCTTGCGTACCACATAGAACATGCGTTGCTTAAAAGCACCCCAAGTGGTTACTGCTGGTTCTCAAACTAGGGGCTCGCTACCTCTTTCAGGTAGAAGGAAACATATTGCAGTTTTCAACAGTTGCCCCACTTGTTGCTCGTACGTGCCTTTTCAAATGATGGCAGCAAATATTCATTGATGCTGTTGAAAAAAAGGTGGATAACGTTTGCGTAACAAAGTAGGCATGATGATTGCGGAGGCTGGGTCATGCCTTGCTGGGTGTTTTCGTGGGCCATTTCTGGGGGAGCAGGCAGTCCCTTGTTGCAGAGTTCCAGGTCGAACTCGTATTCACAAACACTCCTCGACTCGAATTTAGTACTTCACTTGGGAGAGTTGAGCAGTGCGCTCTGCTCAACTGAAAGTGCTTTTCAAGAATTGCTGCAGATTATTGATGACATTCAGTGACTTGCTCTGCCTACACGCAGCGCTTCAATCAGCCTTCTTATTTCAAGGGAAAGCCTTGTTCTTGAATATGAGGGTGAGTAACCCAGCACATGGACCACTCGGAAATGTAGTTTACTGATGTAAATAGCATTTAAACGGAAGCCTATTGACGCTGAAAGCAGGTGGCGACAATTGACACAAGAATCACAGTACGGGGACCAACAGCTCACAGTCAGCACTTCGAGCTAAAGAGATGGCCCACTATGGCATATTGTTTTCTCCTTATAATACTGTGTCCCTCAGTAAAAATTGCTTACCAAATACCCCACGCCCGATATGACTAGTTACATCCAATAGTTTAACCATGCATGCCGAAATCTCGCACTAATTGTAAATCATTTGCATTCGCGTGTACAGCACCACATTATTGGGACAAACTGCCCACAGAACTAACCAAACCACAGTAGTTTACCAGTTACAAAACTAAGCTACGTACTTTTATAGTCTCGTCCTTTCTCTGATGAGAATTCCCATATTTCTGGCATCATACACTTTATTCATGCGCTCTGTGTTTGTACAACAGAATATGACATGAGGGCCTCCTGTCACAACTCCTATGCAAGTTACGGGGCACTGCCTTTATAACACAACTGATGTATATTCATGTGAACAATAAAGTTTTCAATTGAATTGTTGATTGACTTATTGAGCATGTGTTTGTTGCTGGTTGTGGTTGTTGCAAACCAATTTTCACCTCGCGACATTTACAATGAACGCAAGCACATACGAACTGCTTACACTGTCACGGATGACAAAGGGAACTAAAGTGCTGGCATGCACGTGTATGACACTCTGATTTGCACCATAGGAGACACACGATTTTGAGCAAACTTCCCGCATGTACGGGCATGTTATCCCAAAAGACATCTTCAACACAGCCAAGGTAAGAAAGTAACAAATGCTAGTGGTTCTCTTCGCTTGACGATGAATAGAATGTGGCAGACAGTACTTACAGCACAACTAACAGATGGCACTTTAGTAGGATTGTGGGAATATTCGAACAATTCAAATAATCCAATGATTATTAACGTATCTGAGTTTGCCTCAAAACAAATTGAAATTATTTTAACTTTCTAAGTAATCAAAATGAACATGTATAATAATCCACATGTAACCCCTTGTAAAGGTGGGTTCGCTGTAGTGGAGGGGTGCCACACCACAACTACACCTATCCAGGAAAAATCCGCAGGCCGTGAATCAACGTTAAATCAACACATTAACCTTCCATCAATTCATCATTTCTACAAGTTTAAAAGCTTGATATACTGGCTTATATGCACTAAATACAGTAAATTCTAAAATGCGACTGTTTTCACAGCTCACCAGTTGAATTGTACCATAAGTGAAATCTTGCTACTACCGTATTTACTCGCATAATCTTCACACTCGCCTAATTCTCGCACCCTCCACCTCGCCCAACAATAATATGATTTCTTTTTTTCCTCGAGTAATTATCGCACCCCCAAAAACTGCCGCAATAATGTCGTCTGCTCATTCAAACCACTGATGATAGCACGCACCATGTGGCACCATCTCTTAAGCATCAAGCGTACTATTATTGCACGAAGATTCAATCCGATTCAAGCCAAGCCAAAGTGGCAAGTGCGCGTTGCAGCGTGTTTTGTATGTTGTGTCGGTAATCTTGTCACGTTATGGGGCGATACCAAAGCTACATGGCTAATTTCAAGCTGAAAGTGATAGATCATGCACTAAACAACGGCAACAGGGCCTCCGGTAGGCCCTTCGGAATCTACGAGTTTTGTGTTCCCTACTGGTGACGGCAGCTGAAAGCCACCAAGACACGTTGGGCCTTCCGTGTGCCTAAAACTGGGATTGACGGTAAACTTTATTTCTTCTGATGAAAACTGCAGATGATTTTGTTAAATAGCCATTAACCCAATACTGACGTCCTACGCTTACCTTTTGAGGGCTCCTGTTGAGCGACGAACGCTACCGCTATGCCTGCAAGGCTCACAAGCTTTGCATTTGATATTCTAATTATTGACTATTTTTTTGCACTTTTTGCGTCTCAAATAAAACTTGCCTGTGCTTTTATTGTTGAGGTAAGTTTTAATTAGTGCTTCTCAAAGCTTGCTGTTCGTTGCTCGTGTGAGAATCCTGATTTGCGGCCACTTCGTTTTCTTTTTCGCTCAGCCTGTTTTCGTGAAAAGTTTTCCCCGCGTAACTCTCGCACCCCCCAAGTTTGCATCGGTTTTCCATCAAAAAAAGTGCACGGATAATGCGAGCAAATACGGTATTTCAAGTTGATTCCACTTCCCTTAGAACAAGAGGAAAGGACGTGGGAGCGGCCGGCCCACTTTGGCCTGGGCACTAACGCCACCTATTGGACATTATTTAGTTCATCCATCTATCTATTTGCACATGCTTTGTTCGAATTCGAATAAACTATTGTGCAGGCTATTGGCTCATAACAATTATGCCTATTTTTCTTCGCCATATCTGATAAAGACTATTCGAATTCAAATCATTTGACCAAAGGACTATTTGCTTTGAATTCACTTTGAACCTACTATGGGCAGAAGCCTACACTTTGGACACATCTGCTCTTATAAAGTATTGCGAATGTGTGAACAATGGGAGCTTACCAGAGAACAGCTCGATGACCTTGGAGGTGAGGGTGAGACAGTCCTCGGGAGGCTCGCACCGGGGAGACACCTGGGGAGACAGCAGGGCTCCAACAATTTATTTATATATCGACGGTCAATCTGCTACTTGTTGGTACATGTGCATTTTTAAAAAATCTTTAGAGGGTACTCTTCCTTGTAAATCAAGTTGTTCCAAAAGAAATAGCACGAGAAGGAAGAAAGGACACCAGCAACGCAGAAAGGAAAGAAGGAAAGAAAACTTATTCCAGAAGGCATGTTGGTACAACATGATGAGTGCTAATCAGCACAATTGACAGGAGGGAGGGCACAGAGCACTGAAATTCCAACAGTCTATTTCTTCGAAAAAAGGTTTATATGAAAGGTTGAAAGAACATTCGTACAACGCTGACTGGTCAAAGCAAGAGTGGCTCTCTGCTCACTGTGTGGGTGCAGACCAAGATGTCCAGTTGGTAGCATTGCCGGAAAATGCAGGCATCACACCACACACGAAATCATCAAGGCAGGGGAGATTACTTTCTTTAAAGGATAATTGTGTAGCTACTCCCTCTGTCGGTCTCACTGATAAAGAAAAAATGTATTCCCAGATGACAATTTCTTGTAACATCACTGTGCTCCACACAGTAACAGTGTGTAACTGTATATGACACTTTCTAACAAAATAAATTGTTGGATGTTCAGCACTCTGTGCCCTCTTTTGTGCTCTTCGCACTCCTAATTTTACTGCACACGCCCATGCAATAAGTGACTCTGTCAATCTAGTACCCATCAGAGTCTACATGAAAGATAACTGAGGCATTTGACTTCATCTTCATGCCAATGTCATCTTTATAGAGCATAAGAGGTCGCTATCGAGAGATCATTTTGTAACCCTTTTTTTTTTTTAGATTGTCGAGAGTGTAAGTGCACACCAATGTTTGATGAACTAGCAGTTTTGCACTACCAGAATAGGAATGAAGAGACGTATCTGATGATAGAGTCATGGCACATCAATAATAGTGGTAGCACATGTGTGAGCGAACCATCAATGAACTAGCATAAAGATGAAATCAAAAGCCTTTGCTGTAGGCCACCATGTGTGCCAGATTGATTGATTCGCATATTGCATGGGCATGTGCAGATAAGCTATCGTGTTTTCTTTTTTGCCTTGTTTTTTCAGTAGGTCTGTGCGAATATTCGAATGCTTCGAATATTCGAACGAATAGTATGGTATTCTATTTCACTTCGATTCAAATTTAAATTATTGAAAATTTCGAAGTATTCGCAAGGAACGAATAAATGCATACTAATCCGAATATACCACATGTAACGGTGGTTTCACTGCAGTGTAAAAATGCTGAACCATGAAAGCGCCTATCCAAAAGAAATATGCTCTGCCACGAAGCCTCCCTTCAAGTTTAAAGGGGCCCTGCAACACTAGGAGAACAGTGTCAGAAAACACTGCCGATTGGTAGTTGAGGCTACCGAGGACACGCAAGCCAAATACCAAAGCGCAGCGCGTGGCGTGGGATTCACAATAAATTCTCAAAGTCAGCTAAAAATTGCTTTCTTCTCTCGGCAAATGACTCCACAAGTTCAGAAAGCACGTGTGACATATTTTCTTTCCCCGTGCCATCCCTTCCTGCTTATCTTCCAGCGCTTTTGTCAAGACAAGAAAGAATGCACTTGTAGCGGGCGAGAAATCTTTGCAACTCTGCGTGTACTAGATGTATTCCAAACATATTTGTGGCGGCCAATTCATGAGGCAATAAAAAAGCTTCTTTATTGAATCTATTCCATGGCTACTAAAAAAGTGTCGCACGACCACTTTAAATGAAATATTACTCTCAAATCAATTAGGCTTAAAAGCTAGTTATGATGGCTTATATGCTCCAAGTGTAATAAACTTTTAAATGTCGCGCATTTTAAGGGTTATGACTCGCATCCTGCTAAAGGTCAAATCCTGCAACTACTAAAGGTTCTTCAGACTTCCTTTGAATGAATAAAAAAAATAATATTTGCATAGAGGCCCTACTTCAATTTAAAAAAAAATATTGTGCAGGTTAGTTAGGTCAAAATGAATATGCCCATTTTTCTTTATATGTTATATATACTATTCAAATTTGATTTGAAATTATTCGACTAAAATCGCTATTCACTTCGAATTCACTTCAAAGATAAAATTCACTATTCACACAAGCCTACTATTCAGAATGAATACATACCAACAAGCTTAGCTCACTGCTATTCTCGCTTAAATGCTGCACACGGACAAAGATGACTTAATCAAACATACCACATAAATTTCACTCTGTATTCTCAAAGCATACACAATTCCCAACATTTACATTTCTTTAGTTCATTTCTTTAGATACATTTCTTTAGTTCATTCTTCATCCATCTCTATTAGCAATGTTTCCACTGCATAGAGCAGACATTCAGTAATTAGATTCTGTTTGATTCAGTGTCAACTAAAGGTCGCAGTCAAGCCCCCTACACGCTTCTATAGCACAAAATTTTCAAACCACCGAATTGACCTTCAGCAGACATTTCAAATTTGGCCAGTCATATCACATACAGTACCATCCACTGTTAAAGGGAACACCTTGATGAGCACCAGTCATATTGCAGGCCTCATAGCAAAATCGTTCAGGCATGGCATTAGTCTATCAAAAGGAGTCAGAGGAGTTGAATCGCAGTAGTTTTATGGAAATCTAAGCCACTATGGTCTTGCGAGAGAGCGCAATCCGGACATGGTGCCCACAAAAGTGTTCCATTTAACTGTGAACCTGTCTACATGTGAAGCCACGAAGATGACTGCAGTTGTGATTTTAGCAATCCTCTTTGCAGCACTTGAGGTGCAATGAATATGCTGCACATGCGTTAAAAACTACTATTGTTTACCTGCTCAACAAATATGTCCATGCAAAAAAGGTAGTTCACTGTAATTAAACTGCCTAAGCTTTTTGTGGTGATTGACAAATATGTTGCCATAAGATTTTCTAACAAAATGACTGATAGCAACTATGCTCCCCATCAACAAAAAATGGTCCCAGGTGGAACCAATGAGGACTGTGTATCAGGCATGCACTCTCTGCGCTGCCTGCCTTATCACGATAGCACTGCTATCACACATTTTGCCAATATAAGAGCGTGACAATAAACCCTGAGGGCAGTCTTGTTCCTGCCATCGTGTAGCTGCCTCGATCCTTACTTGACCAGCATTGAAACCAGCATCGAAAACAGTACATGGTGACAGAAGTGGTCACTTTGGGTCAAAGCTTCGTCTCGGTCTCGGCGGAACCCCATCGATGGAAGTAATCAAGGCACCACCATGTCAGCAGCTGACCGGCAACCTCTCCGAGCAATAGAAACGCTTCAAACAAAAATTCGACCTGTTCCTTGCGGCGACCACGGCGAAGGACCAACCCCGAAGTGAAGCCGCAAAAACGGCGCTCCTTCTTAGTGTCGTTGGTGATGAAGCTCTCAACGTGTTCAACACGTTCAAGTTTGAAACACAGGAAGACCAGGAAGACCAGGAGGACTACAAGGCAGTCGTTGAAAAGTTCGAAGCGTATTGCTCTGAGGTAAGCAATGAAGTGCATGAGAGGTATCTGTTTCGCTCAAAGAAGCAGGCAGAAGGGGAACTGTTTGAAAAATTTGTTCAAGACCTGAAAAAGCAAGCTGCGCAGTGCAATTTCGGAGACTAGCAGAATTCAATGATCCGCGATCAAATAGTGTTCGGCATGAATAACTCAAAGTTGCGCGAAAAAATGCTTTGCGAAGCAAAGCTCACGTTAGGGAAAGCAGAAGAATTTTGCAAAGCTGCGGAATCTGTGGCGCAACGAAACGAAGTTTGGAGGGCAATGGATAGCCACATTGACGCTATTGCGGGGCGTGCACTACCACCGAGAAGCAGAAGCCCCCAAAATGGCAACAAGCAGTACCGCTGCACAAAGTGCGATCGGCGACACAGACCAAGGCAGTGTCCTGTGTACGGCAAGAAATGCAACATATGCCACCTGCCCAATCATTTTGCCGTGTGTTGTCAACGGATGTCCAAAATTGCTGAGGTAAAAAAAAAACGACTGCGATGATGACTTCGACATCCTGGAAGCGGGTGTTGGCAATAAAAAAGCCAGAGACGGGATAGTGGAAGCTGAGGTCGCGGGCAAGAAAGTCTCCTTCAAGGTTGACACAGGGTCACAGGCCAGTCTGTTACCATTTTCGGCGTACCGGAAAATACGTGCTGCAGGACCCTTGACTGCTGCCACCTCAGTGCTACGGGCCTACAACGGAGACGTTCAGCATTTCATTCGGCTGCAACAAGTTTCACCACATTCGTGTACGGGCACAAAGTTTTGATTGAGACTGACCATAAACCGCTCTTATCTATTGCTGCGAAGGGTATCTGTGACATGCCTCCCCGCCTTCAGAGATTTTTTTCTAAGGCTTCTGAAATATGATTTCTGTTTGCAGTTCGTACTGGGCAAACATCTCGTCTTGGCCGACATGCTGTCAAGATCATGCCCGGCTAGTTCCGAGGACACCGCTGAAGCCGTGGGCGACGTGGAGGTGCATGCACTGCAAGTTCTGGGCTGTTTGGTCACAGATGCGACACGACGGAAGCTGGAGCAAGAAACTGCGAATGATGGTTACCTGAGCACTGTCATCTCCAGCTTGTCAAGCGGTGAGAACCTGCAGGGTGAACTGAAGCCTTTTTTGTCAGAGCTTTCTGTCGTGAAGGGCGTATTGCTAAAAGGAACGAAAGTGGTCATACCAAAAAGCATGCGACTTGAAATTCTTGGACGTATTCATGCCGGGCACCTAGGATTGCAGAAATGCAAAGAAAGAGCACGACGTCCGGCTTTTTGGCTTGGGCTCAGCAATCACATCACACTGCTGATTCAGAGCTGCCCTACTTGTTGCAAGTTTTCTTATAAGCAACCGAAAGAACCATTTCTCATGCGCCCAGTACCAGTATGCGCATGAATCCGTGTGGGTGTGGACATTTTTTCGTTTGGAGGAAGTTCGTACGTCGTCGCGTTCGACGCGTTTTCAAACTTCCCGGAAGTCCAGAAGCTCCATGACACCACTGCAAGAACAACAATTGCAGCACAGAGTGCTATGGTTGCTAGATACGGCGTGCCTCTGGAGGTATGCATGGACAACGGGCCGCAGTTTGCAAATTATGAGTTCACAGAATTCGCAAGAAAATATGACTTCGCTCATGTCACATCAAGTCCGCACTTCCCACAGTCAAATGGTCTGGCTGAGAAAGGAGTACAGATCGTGAAACGCCTCCTCAAAAAAAGTGTAGATTCGCGCAGACTTCTGGTTAGGCTTGTTGGCCTACCGCTCTACGCCGCTTGTGGACGGCCGATCACCTTTAAGGTAGGCGTCTCAGGTCGAACGTACCCGACTTTGGCGGCGTACAGTCAACATCAGTCAAAAAGCATTATCAGAGCGACGGCGGAAAGCCCTTGTCACCCTTGGGTAGAGGGGCGATCGTACGGCTTAGGGACTCAACATGGTCTCCGAAAGGTATTGTGATGGGAAGAACGTCTCCGAGGTCCTACGGTGTAGAAACGGAAGATGGTCGGGTGTTTAGACATAACAGACGGCATCTCCTTCAGACTCGTGAACCGTGGACAGCGGACGTGAGTGATGATGATTGTGGTCCCTCCGAGACTAGGTCCGCTGAATGTGGGGCACCTGCATCGAGTAGCTCCGTTGATGTTACACCGCGCCAGCTTACACCGCACCCTCAGGTGGCGTCCGCCGGTGGTGTTCCAGTACCAGCTACATCACACCACGGGCAATCTCCTCCCAGGCTGACACTGGTCCCAAGAAGATCGGGTCGCACCACTAAGCCACCGCAGCGGCTTCGTTACGATGCGGCCTTTAATCAAATAACCTGAACTCATTCCTTACCCCTCAGAGGATGTATCAGGCATGCACTCTCTGCGCTGCCTGCCTTATCACGATAGCACTGCTATCACACATTTCGCCAATATAAGAGCGCGACAATAAACCCTGAGGACAGTCTTGTTCCTGCCGTCGTGTAGTTGCCTCGATCCTTACTTGACCAGCATTGAAACCAGCATTGAACCAGCATTGAAAACACCCGCTTCAGTTGTGTTTTTCGACCCCAGAAGGCCCCACTTGTCCATGTTTTATCAATAGGGTTTGTTTTTCCTCCTGTGTCCCATAATTTGTTGCATTGCTGCATCTGATACTATGCACATGGTATTTGTATGCTATTACAAAAATAAAACAATGTTCAATTAAAATATTAGTATTGTCTTATTCAGAAAAACATTTTCCAGGAAATATCCGCCCTCAAAATTTCTTCTGCAAAATTGGCATGGCATTGGCAACAACCTGTCAGAGCCACAGCATCATTGCCACAGCCGACAAAAGATGGTGAGCATGAATGGTGACAAAAAAAACATTTATAGCATTAAGACAGTTTGATAAGACCTCCATGGGAAACAGTATCTGCAAAGCACTTCATTGGTTTTTCCCTGTAAATCTAATTTTTCCCAGATGTAGCAAGAAGACATATGCAGCTGCACTTCCTTTTGGTTATGTGCAGTAGATGCCCAATTTTCTTGATAAAATTGTGTCCTGACTAGGCTTGTGCGAATAGTAAATCTCATGTTCAAAGCAAGTAGTCATTTGGTCAAATGATTTCAAATCAATTCAATAGTACATGTCTCACATTATTCAAAAATGACCCAGCTAACCTGCAGAATATATATCTTTTAAGATTGAAACAAGGTAAGTGCAAATGCTATTTTTTTTTTGTTCAAAGAAAGTGGAATCAATTTTGCATAGAAGCAGGCTTCTACCCTTTGGTACATTGTAAATCATAACTCTAAAATTTGTTATGCTTTCAAATACTTTGAAAATTCCAATAATTAAAATTGGAGTTGAAGGCAACTTGAATACTGTAATATTTGTTCAAATATTTAAAGTGCTCAAACATCCGCACAAGCTTAGTGACAACCATCCTAGTGATCAGCACTCGCCTGCTTGTCACTTGTGCAAAACTGTGCAAAATACTCACCCGAACACAATAGTTCCCGGCACTCAAGTTCTCAAACTTCACCACCACTGAGAGGTTCTGCAAATGCAAACAAAACTGTGAATGCCTCCATGAACACTAACAGTACCTACTAAGGCCGAATTTCTCATCTTGAACCACTGTCCTGCGCAGCATTTCAGCAGAGCCAAGCAGAGCGTTTCTGTTCAATTAATGATGCAAAGGTGCAATCAAATGTGAGCAATGTTTCCTTCTGTCCCTTTTCCGTGCTTATAGAATGAAATTTTGCCTCGATTCTCAGCCACTGTGTAACGTTTCAGTGCAAGCCCCGCATAGCCCCTTTTCTAACCAAATGTGGCCTTATTTGGGTTCTTACCTTTGAAGCAGTTTTAATATGCTTCATAAACGCTTGTCACTTGTTGTAAAAATGTATTCACTCGGCCTGCTACAAAGTCATTTGCCGTTCCCCTGACACGAAGATTTGCCCCAGCACAGCTCTCGGAGCCTTGGAACTGTCCAAGATGCACTTCAATCTTAATTATAACGAGTGCCCAGTGATGTTGAAAACTGGGCAAACAGGAACATATGGCAGTAAGACTTTAAGCTAGGCAAGTTGTTTCTGTGATGTTTCGTTTGCTCTTAATGATAGAATAACACATCAAGCCACGGCAGCCTTTTTATATATAAGTAGGTATAAAAAAGTGTATCAAGCACTATTCGATTGCCCTCACTTGTAAGGAATCACCTTCTTTAAATGTTGTTCAGTCCTTTGCATTCTACCGATAAGTTCCATGACTTGCTCTGCACATGCTCTGTGCAGATTATTGGTGCTTTTATGTGTACTCCTTTTCAAAATATAAAACAGTTGAGAGTTAGCACTCATTTGTCCATTCTTTCTGTGTGTGCACAAGAATTTTCAAACATGAAGTAGAAACATAATCCCGACAACCAATGCAAACAGGACGTAGAACACCAGAAAGTACGAGAAACAGGCACTGTCTATCAACTAGTAGTCGAATGAAACAATGTGGCATGCTTAAAAGGACCCTAATGACTCAATTTAGATTGACAAACTGCACTCTGAGAACTCTAATGCCATAAGTTTCACTATTATAAGTTCATTATTATTGAAGAAAACTACGGTTGAAGTTTCATTCTGAAACCTTGCCCCAAAATCTCCACGAGTGGCGTGAAAAATTCATAAATGAGTTTTTCATATTGCCACAGCCGACATATTTTTGTAACATTGCCTCAATGTAATTTTCTGAAACAATGTATTCTAGGTTTATGGCACCCACAGATGACAAAGCACCTCGTTTTTGCTTAGGGGAGCGTGTATTTGGTTAGGAAAAAGAACACACGACAGAAAGGACGTTTGTGTGTTCCTTTCCTAAGCAAATCTGGGCTCCCCTAAGCAAGATGTCGAACCAACCAGCCCAACAACTGAGCATACCTCATTTTTACCAACTAGAAGCTACAAAGAACCCAGTAGATGCTTTCAAAACCTATGATGTCCTAGTCTTTGGTGCGCTAAATTTGCACCTTACTAATACGTGAAAAACCGTTATTCTCTTTCGTGTCCCTTCAACACAGAGTGAGGCACTGACAAAAGTCTATCAACCCATATGAAGCTTTTAATCACGCACATTGTAGATGTGAAAGCTCAGTATCAATGATGGCTGGCTCATGCACTTGTCTTTTGTTTTCATTATTTCAAGTGTTCTGCAATTTCATTACAGCTGTTTAGTTCAGCTTAGCTGTGCAACTGCGCTGCTCGCAATGGAGGGACCAATGCATAGACGGTGCCCCTTTCAGAGAGCTCTGTGAGGTCAGTGAAATGTGATCCCATCTGGTTAATGTACATGCCACCACACGACAAAGGGATGGGGTTCACCACTCTACTGGCACGGTCGGTGAATTGTGCAGAGTGCTTTTACAGAGCACATCTCACCACTGGCAGCTGCCACCCCTTCTATGCCTTTTTGTCTACAGTTGCACACACACCTCCCAGGAGAGCACTAGAAGACATTTACATTGCGATTTCCAGCTACCTTGTTCAAGCAGTGTGTGACAGAAACTGGCACAGCGATTGCATCCACGGTGAATGAAATAACAGCAAGTCAAATGTTATTTATGTGGGTACAGAGTAAAAGTGTGACCATGCAGGAGTTTATAGCAAATATCTGTCAACTAGCTGGCAGCTACAACTCTGGCCTCCTACGAGAATGCATGGCACAGGATCGCATCGTATGCAACGTGCATAACGAACACACGCGGTGTTCTGCTACTGCTACTACTACTACTCGCGACTTGTGGCCTGACAAAGAGCGATTCTATTGAGAAATGCTCTGGCTAGTCCTGTGGAGGACTGTCATCACATCTGGACAGTGTGTCACAACTGCAGCAGAAAGCAAGGACATCAATCTCAGGTAAGCCTAGCAAGATTCCATGGGACTAACAAAAACTCTTCTTGGCTGCCTAAACAACGAGGACACTTGTGAGGCCTCCTGTTTATCTCGATTGGTGAAGTGGAGAGGCCCCTGTTGGGCTTCCCAGACTCGAATGAATTTTTCTTAAACTACACTGCGCTACAATTTGTTCTGACAGTACAGTGGAAGCTAGAGAACCCAAGTGCATACCTGCTACCGCAAAGAGAAATAGTACGCGAGGTTTACTCGTAATTTTCTCATTGGCCTTGCTGAATAACTGCTACTACATTTATTATAAGACTGAAAAAGTTCTGAGAGGTCGTAGGTTAAATACAGTTGTTCCCTTTGTGAGAATGTCTCCGTTTTTTTCTATTTCTTAAATAGCACAACCTTTTCGTCTCACCTATTTTTCAAAGTAAACATAGTGTCCATGACACATTGGGTCCGTGCATGGTGGCAAATGCACTGTGTGGTTCTCCAAGAATAATGTGCTCGTAGTACGATACCAAAATGCGCACCCTAGCAAAAATTCTAATAGAAAAACTTATAGCCTATTAGGTTATGAACACTGATACATGTATTAGGCTACATGTAAACTAATAGGCGATTACTTCTTTTATTGCACTTTTTGGTTCCATATCGCATTTTTTTAGTATAAAATTTTATGAACATGTTAATGGTGTGAGTGAGCAGAACTTAAAATTCGCCACAAGCTACCATACTACTTGTGCAGCAACACAAATGTGCAGAAGCCCCATGTCCACCACAGCCTTCGCTCCAATGCCAAGCAAGTTTTTGCCGAGTGTATCAACACTTCCTTTCCGACAAATCTGTCCAGACTTCCTCATGACTTTGTGCTACAAAGCAGATTATTCCGTTCAGAATGCTGCTTTCGTATGCTCTATATAATAGATGCTTTTTTTGCGGTCTGTAACTACGTTAGGTTGGACAAATGAACAGACACGGCTCGGCTTTCTACTGTCACTCACGGCAATTGTCTGAATCTCCTCGTCCACAAAGCGGATACTGTCGACGCACGGAATGGACTGCGGGCGTGCACTGCCCCACGGTGCCCACAAGGCAACATGTAGCTTCTCACACTGGAGCACCTTGCTTTCAAACAGCTTCACCGTTGCTTGAATGGTTCCCCTACAAATTCAGGCATGGCTGAACATGCGCACTAAGTCATTTCATAGTCAAGCAACAAGGCACAAGAACAAGTTTGGCGAATAGATTAGGCAGATAACTCAGGTTGCAAAAAAAAAAGCTACTGATCTTGCGACATCCTGGCTCAAACACTTGTTTTCGCTTTACCTTTTTCTTGTGACGTGCGTTTACAGGCTAAAATTGTTAAAGTACTAACAGAGAGCCGAGCAAGATGGTATATTCAAAGAAGACAGGGCACGCACACAAAAAAAGCACAAATGCCGACTCACAGAGAAGGAAGAAGGCACGAAAACTTATCATTTTCTTTTATTTATTCAGTACCTACATCACTTGTGCAGGCATTACAGCATATGGGTCAATTGACATTCATTTCTACACACAAAGGGTGGTAAAAGTCATCATTACAGTGCATGCTATGCAATACGCATGGGCATGCACCTTTAAGCACATCTTCAGTTGTTAGTTAGCAAGTCTCGACTTCCTTATTCTGTCTTTGGGTGCACACCCTGTCTTTTTAGTGTATATTTTGGACACTTATCGCTCAGTGCGAGCCATGCGTCAGAACCTTATCAAATGTTTTTACTTTTCCAATCAGATCGTATGCACAATGCAGACAGTTGTGCATTTTTAGAACAGACTCACACACCAATGCAGTCTGGAGTTTACAGTGACACACAGTTGAACCAACAAACCTCTATTATCTAGTAAAATCTCAGCTTAAAAGGCCCCAGCAAAGTCAGGAAATGCTGCCCGATGCCAGTCAAGGTTCTCCAGAACACACAAGCCCAACATAATACTTTTTTTTTATTCTCAAGGTCAACCAGACACCCTTCCCTCTTCTGACACCATAAACCCGTGTCCAGGTCCGCTGACTGATTTGAACCTCATAAGCAGCATGGCAACGTGGCCACCGTGGCATGCTGCCACATGCACTGAAGGTAAGCTGGGAGTTTCAAGAAGAAAAAAAATCTTCTCATGGTCATGACTGTGGCTCAGTGTTTTCCGATCAATCCGAAGAAATTCGACAAACACTCTGTGGTAAAACTTTTAACAATTCTGATTCGTCTAACAAGCTTCCAATTTTATAAAGGGGTGTTTTCAGTGTTCAAAGGATCTTTTCAAAGCTGAGAATCATCAGTCAAATGAAGTGCCAGGGGCAGCAACCTAGTAAAGTGTCCTTGCCTCGATAACAGCAACCTTTAAGATTGTTGTAATAATTTTAGATGAACAAAGGTATTATATGATATTAATTTGACTCATGGAGGTACAAGTCTTAAGTGTCTGCGCAAAAAGCCCAGAGAGCAATTCATGTAGTTGACTATGTTAGTCACTTAAATTACCAATGTCTGTTCTTGTCATTCCTTGGCATATATAGCATCAGTAGCCCTCTGTAAGGACTCTCGCGTGAGAGCTGACAGTATTGCCAATAAACAAATAAATATGAACTGTCAGGTCACCTGCGGCTCATACCCCCATAGGGAGTCATATTCTTCAAACCTTCTTACTCTCGCATACAAATTTTGGTTTACCCCGAGTGATGGGGTTGATCATGAGAGCACCCAGACATAGGCGGCTTGATGGATATGTATATAGAAACGCCAAAAGTACCTGCAGTGCACTAAGAAATGCTTCGCTTTTAAAATTATGAATTTGAAAGAAAGTATCTGCAATGCAGTGGAGTCGGCACAAGCTCAAAAAAAAGGTTAAAAATGCCTGTGGTTGCGTGTGTGGACAAGGCTTTTCTTGAGTGGTTTTGGGCATACAGGCATGGAATGGGTGCGTAAGAGCTCAATATACTATGCACATGCTTGGCCACAATGATTTCCATGGAAAGTGATGGCTAAGGATTTAAGAGCTGGCACGCCGTTATCAGTATGGTTGCAATTTGCATCAGTGTGGCTTTGCTTTGTAGTTGGTCAAAAGGCCAGCCCGACATCTTGGGCCATCATAACTTGGAACGATGCTGATGACAAGGCTTTCACATACCGGATGCTTCCAAATTACATGACCGCACCGAGCAGTTTGTTGTGGTAGTAAACAAAAACTTCATGTAATGGTTCTTGCTTCGTGCCAACCATGAAGACAGTGAACAAAAAAATCCATTAGTTAATGGACATTCATTAGACACAGTTCACTATCCTGTTATGTCACAGTATGATAAGATAGCTTTGGACAACTTACAGTAAAATTGTTTGCGAGCGTTGCTCCTAATTGCTAAATTCATACTGCTGTGCCATTCAGAAAAGAACACACCCCGTTTCCTCCTAGACCTCTCATTTCGCACCCTGAGCGTCCAGAATCCAATCCAGTCAGCCTCCACAATCTGTTCTCTAAGTGCCCTCAATTTGTCAAAGTTTGAATGGTATCTGAACAGTGCAGCACACGAAGAAAGGAAGACAAAAAAGAAAAGCAGGTGCTACGCTGGTTAGCCCTCATTGGAATGGTACTGGCAGCCATTGCAGTAGTAAAAACTTAATTCTTTTTCCTTTCTGTAGAGTGATCACACTTCGAACTTAGCGCATGACACCCGAGACACTTTTCACGTTCCTGTGAGCAAAAGCATGGCCTTTGATATTTGTGTTTGCATTTAAAAGAAGCAACTTATGATCTGTTTCAGATGATTGAGCCCATAGTTGGCAAAGAGTAAGGCTTCTTAGATCTGTGGGCTCATTATCAGATATGCCTCCATGCTATGCTTTGCAAACCGTGTAGCCACCCATCCCCAACTTCAAAGGATCATCCCACATTCAGGGCTCTTGTCTCATATCCTGCAAGAGATACAAAAATTTCCAAAAATGTCCTGCATTTCGCATTTTATAAATATTTCTTGGCTACAAACTGTGCTTCATTTAATCACCCTGTTTAAAGATGCTTCAAGCTTCCAAAAATTTCAGGTATCTGTGAAACTCACGAGAGCAAAGAATACTTCGGATGACAACCATAAATATGTATACGACTAGACATGTATAACAAAAAAGGGGGAAAGGAATATTGAAGGTCACAGGTTCGGTCCCTGCCGGCAGCAATTTATCTTTCCATCCGCTCTAACTTCTTCACATTTACATCATAATTACCACAGAACAACCATGCTTTCCAAGGCTTTCTCATCTCCTAGTTCTCATTAAAATGAAATGTAACAAGTATGACGACTTCTAAGAAAGTGGCAATGATTTACAAAGCTCTCAATCAGCAATGCGCAAAAACTAAGCCACAGCTATATTGTGGGCAACTATTCATGAAGTTGGTAAATTCCCATGTCAATGCAAACAACTGTTTCTTATCGAAGCATATCACAAGAATGTATAAAGCAGTGCTGTTCACACAGATATGCGTTAGCACTTGTATCCATATCCGTCACTTGATTTCCTTGTCACAGAGGCGACAAAAAGTTACGAAGGCACTTTAGTCTAAAGTTTCAAAAAAAAGTTAAAGCAGTCGCATTAAGAACCCTCAACGTATGTAACTGCGCGGTAGTAAACACGGACGACAAGAAGATACAAGGACAAGCGCAGACTATCAACTGAAGGTTTATTTTTCACAAACCACATATATATGACTGAAACAGAAACAGAAAACACGAAAATCTACAAAAACTGATGACTTAGCACTTAACAATCGACAAAACGTGAACGTTTGACAAAAGCAGATTCAAGGACCATGTGCGCCACTTGCCAGATACCGTAGCTCTTTATCTAAAAGAGCTAACGACGGTTTGCTGACGCAGTGTTCTGGTTCCCGTGCCATTTTTTCCGCTTCGACGATCATACGGGTATGATCGTCTTTGTGCCTGAACATTACGACCGTGCTTTCGAACTGCGCAAGGCAGCCACACCTACTGATGTGCTGAGCTAAAAAACCCTCATTGCCAGTGCGCACATTGCGTGCGTGCTCGCGCAGGCGCTCATTTAGGCATCTCCCAGTCTGCCCGATGTAACACGCACCACAAGATAGCGGAATTCTATAAACTACATTCATGTCACATCTGACAAACTGGGTTTTATGCCTGACAGTGCAAGCTTGTTTGGGCCTATTGTTTACACATGTCATTTTGGCTAGCTGAGAGAGCTTGTAAGGTGCCGAAAAAACGACCTTTACGCCCATGCGCTGACCGAGCTTTTTTATCTTGTGAGATAGCTGGTGCTTGTAAGGGATTACCGCAACTTTGTCACGTTTGCTTTTGTCTCCGTCATTAGTGCTCTCTCTGCTTCTGGGCTTTTTCTTCTTTTTTATTGTTTCTGCCACAGAAATGAGAAGCGAATCCGGGTAGCCAGCTTCTTTCAGACGCTCAACTTGATTTTGGAAGCTTGTTTCCATCATATGGAAACATGATCTGTCCAGCGTCTGAAAGAAGCTGGCTACCCGGATTCGCTTCTCATTTCTGTGGCAGAAACAATAAAAAAGAAGAAAAAGCCCAGAAGCAGAGAGAGCACTAATGACAGAGACAAAAGCAAACGTGACAAAGTTGCGGTAATCCCTTACAAGCACCAGCTATCTCACAAGATAAAAAAGCTCGGTCAGCGCATGGGCGTAAAGGTCGTTTTTTCGGCACCTTACAAGCTCTCTCAGCTAGCCAAAATGACATGTGTAAACAATAGGCCCAAACAAGCTTGCACTGTCAGGCATAAAACCCAGTTTGTCAGATGTGACATGAATGTAGTTTATAGAATTCCGCTATCTTGTGGTGCGTGTTACATCGGGCAGACTGGGAGATGCCTAAATGAGCGCCTGCGCGAGCACGCACGCAATGTGCGCACTGGCAATGAGGGTTTTTTAGCTCAGCGCATCAGTAGGTGTGGCTGCCTTGCGCAGTTCGAAAGCACGGTCGTAATGTTCAGGCACAAAGACGATCATACCCGTATGATCGTCGAAGCGGAAAAAATGGCACGGGAACCAGAACACTGCGTCAGCAAACCGTCGTTAGCTCTTTTAGATAAAGAGCTACGGTATCTGGCAAGTGGCGCACATGGTCCTTGAATCTGCTTTGTCAAACGTTCACGGTTTGTCGATTGTTAAGTGCTAAGTCATCAGTTTTTGTAGATTTTCGTGTTTTCTGTTTCTGTTTCAGTCATATATATGTGGTTTGTGAAAAATAAACCTTCAGTTGATAGTCTGCGCTTGTCCTTGTATCTTCTTGTCGTCCGTGTTTACTACCGCGCAGTTACATACGTTGATCATGAATCACCAACTCGCCCAATCGTCCACCTTAAGAACCCTCAGTCGTGGGTTCACTCTCAATACAAAGAAACCTTGTGGCAAGAGGTCACTCACTGTTCATACGATCCTTGGACCATCACAGTGGCATTCCAAGTGGTGCACGCTACACTGTTTGGTATAAGGCCACCGACATTGGCACCTGAAAGATCTTTGCCTAGAAAATACGAGAGGGCTTAATCAACAGACTGACTGTTGGCACAACACTAGCAAATTACGTACGTAATCTCACACTTTCATATGAATATGACATAGTGCACCACAGAAGAGACAGAAAAGGACACACACAAAGTGCTAACCTGCAAGTAGACGTTTTGTTTACGATCGCACATTGCACAGGAGATCGATGAAAAATTCAGGACAACTTTGCACTAGTGCTGCCAAGCGCGAAGGAAGTCTCTCCACTTCTCTTTTTCTTTTTCCTCTCTTTTTCGTTTCGAGTTATTCTTTTTCCAGTCTGTTTTTCTCTTTGATTATAGTACTTAATTTTTCCGTCTTATTTTTTTTCCCTTGTCGCTTGCTTCCTCTCTTTTTTTTTTCATTTTTTATTCGTGGTTTTTCCAGCAATATGCCAAGCGACAGCGTATGACAGACCAGCCACCTAAAGTGCTTTACATTTAACACCACTGGAGCAACATTTACGTAAAGCACAGAACAAACATGTGTCATTACAGACAATAATCTGCCTAGGAGCAATGACTCTAAATACTTATTTTGATTAGCCAACAAATCTAAAGAAAGCACACATACACATTTTTCTTTCATTTTGTCTATTCCGTAGGCTTCAGTTGTCTCACACATAGTTCTGCCTCGGGCTCTCTACGAAATGCGGCTGTTCCTGAACGCCTGTGCGGAGCCACACTTCAAGAAAATTGTGTGCGTGTGCCTTTTTCGGCTTTGTCGGGTGCACATCATTGTGCGATCAGTGATGACATGCACCTGTTCTGTGCTCTACCTCAACATGTAGATCCCTCGGTTTTACCGATCTACTGCTACATATGAACAGCATGCATGATCCCAAATAAAACCATTAGTCGCAAGTTAGTACTGTGTGTGTGTCCTCTCTTCTCTTCATGATGCGTGCACGATTTAAAATTAGTAATCCTAACCAGCTAGCCCGGCAATGAGCTTTAACCAATTACACAATCTCTACGAGTTATGCAGAAAAAACAAATATTGAAGGCAAATATTCCACTCTTATTACACAATATTTCTATAACATGATCCCCATAGATTACATTATACGTCAGTACATCGTACCTGTTGTTCACTTTCACTATGACTCATTTTGTGTCTGTAAAATAAATCATGGGGTTATATTACGGAAAAATGCTGGTTGATAACAAAATGCATACAAGGTACACTGCTTATAAGAGACATCTAGTATAAAAGACAAGAATTGCTGCCCAAAGCATGCTTTTTATAAAGAAGTTTAACTGTATGATGTTCTTTCCTTGCTGCATATTGATGCATTTCCTTGTATAGTATTACCATTTTCCACTATGTGATGAAACACTTCTTACATCTTATTTCATGCAGTTGCTATACTACTGAGATGTTTGGGAAAGGGGAAGAGGAAAGCTTAGCGATGAAAAAAATTACAAAAACGAGGGTTGTGTGCTCGAGCCGACGTCTCGGCAAGTGGGCTTGTCTTATTCAAGGCTGGAACCACCCATGAATTTGTTATTCGTATCAACGGCAATTGGAGCTATCCAAAAACAGCCTTTACCTCAAGCTGCTCGGCTGTCGTGTTTTGTTTTGATGATGAAAATGAACTGAATCATGCACCCTATAAGATCTACTGAAGGAGAGGCAGGAAGGGTCTGCCGCAATGGGCAGGCAGGCCCTTCGTGCAAAAAATAAATGGTATGACGAGCGATAGCAGACGACACTCGGTGCGCGTCTCGCGCTTTTACGCGAGAAAACAAAGTAGATCGGTGCTGAGCTCCCGGGCGCTCGAGGAACGTGGGAAAAAAAAAAAAGGATTAGGCAGTCCCTTCCTGGTCTTGAAAGAGTGTGGACGTCCTTCTTAGGCCGCCTCAGAACCCAGTATATCCGACGGCTAAAATGGCACATCACAATTGGTGCCCAATGGCTAGAGTTGAACTAAGAAGACGTTTACATCTTCTATGTGGGGAAGTCGCTCTCTACACGCTCCTTTGGCTCAACCACTGACGTTTGGACAGCATCGGCTCTGTGATCCCAAGATGGCGACGGCCCCGTGTTCTGTCGACGTGTTCGAGCAGCTAAATGATGCCGCCCGGGCATCATGACGCCACCACCCACCCTAAATGACGCCACCACCCGCCCGCCCGCCCGCTCGCCCGCCCAGCATTCATATTCCATGCCGGCAGAACCAGTATACGATCTCTGGCTCTACCAAATAGTACGTGATACGCAGACAGAATGATCAATTGGGTTTTGGTTTCGGTATTGCACATTTTTGCTTATCAAAAATTATATTGAAATTTCCTGAGCATTTAAGCTAAAGGCCCGTGACAAGAGTGTCTTAGGAACATGGAAACACTAGAACCTTGACATGGTCAAAAATCGCTGGAGTTGGCCTTTCAGTTAGCATGAACCAAAATTAGCATGGGAAGGTAAGATAATTTGATAAATATGACGTGCTGGTCAAAACATAAACAACTTTGCGTGAACCAAAATTAGCATGGGAAGGTAAGATAACGTTGATGAATATGACGCGCTGGTCAAAACATAAATAATGTCCCATTCCCGTCGCGTACGTTGTCAGACACTTTTCGCCAGATAGTGGCACATACCCATGGGCGAGTATGTGCCATGGATATGCGTGTATGTACCTCAGGTGATTGACACTTAGTATCTACTGAGGAACGACGAGAACACACATGGGTAATTTTAACGCCTGATATCGGTAGCGTCGACCCGATGAATGAAAAGAATAAATGTCAGGGCCCCAGCTGGAATCAAACCCAAGCATTCAGCGTGGCAATGAAGCATTCTACCACACAGCTGCGCCCGGTCTCGGAACTACGTTTCAAATGGGCGCTAATCTTCGTGAAACGTCAATTGTGGTTGCAGTGCTCCCTATTTAATTTTATAAACATTAGATATGTACTCCTTTGATACAGCTGTCACGTCGGGTTAACGTCAATTGTAGTTAAGTGTCATGCGCTGAAGTTGATTTAGGTAGCAGTGTCCAGGGCCAGCATATTCGCGAGCATCAGTTCTTCATATCAGCTTCTGGTGTTGCTAATACGCATATTCCTGTTTGCATCGTTGCGCAAGTGCAAACTGGTTATATAAACATCTGCAACTCTTCAATATATGTCTGTGCGTGCGACATTTGTACATATAATTAGCGTCATTTCTGGACATGTCGCACAATAATAAAATTGCGACACGCTCACCTTCCCTCTCATGCTTCGCATAACGTCGATTCTCAAGGTACGTGGAATCTGCCGAATTTTTTTTCTACGTGATGCATCAGAAACGTTTCATAATCTCCATTTTCTTTATGGTGTTCTTAACAATAAAACACGCGAAGATTGCAATATGGCAGGCTCAGAGAAATTCGCAGTCACCAACACTGTTACATATCATACTCGGCCTTGCAGCACAGACATACACGCGGGTGCAGAGACAGCAGCCACTCCAAACGTACCACGGTGTCCCTCCTCGAGTTCAAGCGGCTCCTCAGAAGTGATGTTCCCACTGGGTGACACCACCTGCACAGTAAACATCAAGAGCGTGTGACAATTTGAATGTAATTTAGAGCAATAAAAACTCAATGATTAATTGCCACATGATTTATCCCAACAAAGGTAAATGCACATAAATGTAAAAAAAACTTCCATCTTTATAAACCACTCAGCAGTTTCAAATGTAAAGCTAGACGAGGGACAGACAAAAGTTCTAACTCGCAACTTTTTAGTTTATTACTTTGAAACAACCTTGTATTTAGGCATGAATTACATGCACTGTAAGCACACATGTGCAAACCATGCTACCTTTATATAGCCTGATAACTCAAAACAATAAGATCAAAAACAAAGCTAAAGAAGGTACATCTTCAGTAAGTTTCCTTGTAGTGCACGTAAACAACAGAAGAATTGAGGCCACATGCAGACAGACAGCGCTCTGTCTGTCTGCATGTGGCCTCATTTCTTTCTGTGGTTTACGTGCACTACAAGTAAACTTACTAAGATGAACTACCAAAAACCCCCATCGCAACTCTCATAAAGGAGGTAACGCGAAAATTTGTATTGGTCATTGCACGATCAGAATGAAAAGACAAGCATCCTGTTTTCCTTCATTCCAGCAATGTACGGTCAGAAGATCCCCGCTCCTAGAGGACGTGTGTTCCCAAACTATGGCAGACGGCCACAGAAGAAAAAGCGCACACATGCATCACGAGAAGCATCATGTGGCAAAAAGCCTGCTCATGGCGCAATAACCCCCATGAATTACCTAAAAGCAATAATATTGTCATGGGGATGAGAGAATGAATTAAATAAATATATTTACAAAATATACAGGGAGAGTCAGAGGCAGCTGCAACCAAGATGGAGGAACAGCAGCCACAACAACACGAGCACGGTCGCTTTCATCGTCTTCGTCGTCTATGATGCTCTTTCGTTGCCGATGTCGTGTAACATATAACCCCCCGCCGCTGGCAGCGCCGTCTCGGCACCTAAAGAAGAGCAGGATCATATGCCAAGATGTATGGTTTCAGGCGGGTCACGTGGACGACGTCAGTGGCAGGTGCGGACGACGACGACTGACTGTCTAACGGAGCAATCTCGTGCGTGACCTCGGTAAGCCGGCGTAAAACCTTGTAAGGCCCCGAGTAGCGAGACAGGAGCTTCGAAGAGAGGCCAACGTGGCGGCATGGTGTCCAGAGGAGGACCAATGAACCTGGAGAGTAGGAAACTACTCTGTGATGGCTATCATAGCGGGCCTTCTCAGAGAGCTGCGAGCCAAGATGTTCCCGTGCGATTTGGCGGACCACTTGAGCCCGAGCAGTGGCATCCCGGGCGTACTCAGTAACCGTTTGCGTAGTTGATGGGAGAAGAGTCTCGAAGGGTTACGCTGGATGGTGGCCGAACAATAAATAGAAGGGGAGAGAAGCCAGCGGTGTCGTGGCGTGACAAATTGTTCGCGAATGTCACATAAGGCAAAGTACTATCCCAATCAAGGTGATCTTTGGAAACGTACATGGAGAGCATTGTTGTCAAGGTTCGATTTCGGCGCTCGGTAAGACCATTTGTTTGTGGATGATAGGCCGTAGTGAGCTTGTGACGCGTCGAACACAAGCGAAGGACGTCACTTACTACTTTTGAAAGAAATGAGCGACCACGATCGGTCAGCAGCTGTCGAGGAGTGCCATGGTGAAGAATTACATCATGAAGCGAGAAGTCCGTGACGTCAGTGACACAGCTTGTCGGTAGCGCTCGTGTGATAGCGTATCTTGTGGCGTAATCAGTGGCTACGGCTATCCACTGAGAGTGAGAGAAGTAGGAAATGGTCCAACGAGATCAAGACCGACGGCGGTAGAAGGGAACGGTGGGTATGTCTATTGGTTGAAGCGGACCAGCTAGTGGCAAGGTGGAATGTTTGGAGCGCTGGCAGGACTCACAGGCGGCAACGTATCGGCGCACAGAACGGTAAAGGCCTGGCCAGAAGAATCTACGCCGCACGCGATCGTACGTGCGCAGTGACCCCGAGATGTCCCGCGGTTGGGGCGTCGTGAAGCTGTTCAAGTACAGCGGAACGGAGTGTCGCAGGAACTACGAGCAGTAGCTCTGGTCCCTCGGCGCTAGGTGTTGAGTCGGCTAAAGAATGCTATCGCGTAGAACGAACAAGTGTAGCGACAGGTCTACGTGGGGCAAACGTAGACTCTGCATGATAGACCGCAAGTGGACATCGCTGAGCTGTTCCTTGCATATGTCGGTGAAAGCCGACATGGCGAAGACACAAGGGTCAGAATCATGTGCTGAAAGGTCGGGTGGGTCCACGGGGTGACGGGATAGACAGTCGGCATCTTGGTGCATTAGGCCAGATTTGTATGCCACGTCAAAGCTGTATTCTTGTAGTTTCAAGGCCCAACGGCCAAGTCGTCCAGTTGGATCTTTAAAGGACGACAGCCAGCACAAGGCATGATGATCTGTAATTACCGAAAAGGTGCGGGCAAACAAGTATGGTCGAAATTTCTCGACTGCCCAGACTACTGGAAGGCACTCAGACTCTGTAATGGAAAACTTGCTCTCCGAAGGAGAAAGGAGGCGACTGGCACAAGCAATGACGCGATCCTGTCCTCGTTGCCACTGGGCGAGAACAGCACCAATTCCATGTCCGATGGCATCGGTACGAACTTCAGTATGGGCTGACGGTCAAAATGGGCCAAGTTGGGGGGTGAAGCAAGTAATGTTGTAAGGGTGCTGAAGGCAGTTGCTTGGTTAGTACGCCAGTAAAAAGGCATGTCCTTCTTCAGTAGCTCCGTAAGTGGTCGGGCAATGTCAGCAAAATTCTTCACGAAACGTCGAAAGTAAGAACAAATGCCAATAAACCTGCGTACATCTTTTGCAGAACGTGGTATGGGAAAATCTCTGACAACTCTAATTTTGTCAGGATTAGGTTGCACGCCTCGAGCAATGACAAGGTGGCCCAGCACAGTGATTTCCGGACGGCCAAAGCAACATTTGAAAGAGTTGAGCTGTAGTCCTGCTGTCCGGAAAACCTCAAGAACAGCGATTAAGCAGCTAAGGTGGCTTTAAAATGTAGGTGAAAATACGATGACGTCATCGAGATAGCACAGGCACATGGACCATTTGTATCTATGCAGGAGAGAGTCCATCATCTTTTCAAATGTAGCTGGGGCATTACACAATCCGAATGGCATAACCTTGAACTGGAAAAGTTCATCCGGTGTGATGAATACGGTTTTCTCACGGTCTCGATGATCGACAGAAATCTGCCAGTATCCTGATCGCGAATCGATAGATGAAAAGTAGGCAGACCCATGTAGACAGCCGAGAGCATCGTCAATCCGCGGTAGTGGATACACCTCCTTACGTGTTACTTTGCTTAAGTGACGGTAGTCTACGCAGAAGCCCCAGCTGCCATCCTTCTTCTTGACTAGCATGACCGGCGATGCCCATGGACTGCAATCAAGTTGAAGCATGCCGGTTCCACAATCAATAAGGGCAGAGTGGGTGGATAAAAAGTCCATGCCGAGGATAAGTTCATAAGAACATTTCTCGAGCACAGCAAATAGCACTGTCGTGGAGCGATCAGCCAAACTTATACGCGCGGAGCACATTCCAAACACGGGAAACGTGCCGCTGTCGGCGACCTGGATGAGTAGTACTGTGGGTGGCGTTAAAACTTTCCTAAGGCGGCAACGAAGTTCTGAATTCATCACTGATATGTGAGCCCCTATGTCCACAAGAGCAACAAGGGGTGTGTCGTCTACCTCAACATCAATAAGGTTGCGTCGAGTCGGCAGCATAGTCAGCGGATCTGGCGGGCAAGTGGTCGATGCAGCATCACCTCCGGGAGCTGCATCATCTAGTTTTCCCGCGGCAGGTGGTCAGTCGGCAACGTTGGTCGGCGAAATTGGGGCGAGCGAGACGACGGGCAACGGGAGAGTGGTGAACGGGACTGGTGAGCATGCGGAGATGGAGAGCGACGACGATATAGCGGCATAGAAGGAACGTCTTCACTGGTGGCCTGAGGTGACTTCTGGTAACTTTTAAAGCATCCATGATCCCTCTCTGGCCGATGGGTGTACCCATAGGATGCCTGATGCCAATACCACCGAGTGTTACAATGGCGGGCCACGTGTCCGATACGGTGACAATTGAAACAAATCGGGCGATCGTCAGCAGTCCTCCACTCGGCTAGATTGCGAGGGCGCGCCGGAAGGTTCTGGCTTTGGGCATACGAAACGGGGTCGACGACGTTTGATAGGCTGAGAGGGAGCTGTAGAGCACTCGGAAGCCAGTCCAGCATTGGAAAGCTCTTGTCGCACAATGGCATGTACGAGTGGCACCATCTGAGGGCTAGAGTCACAGGCAAGGGAGCACGTGGACGCAGGAGACAGATCTTCAAGTTCACGTCTGATGATCTTGGTCACGTGCTCTGCAGTTAACGGCGTCTGTAGTGTAGGCCCGTCTTCGCATGACCAGGTTGCTGCTGTGTTTGGTAGTCGAGTGAAATTATGGGCGATACGTCGACTTTTTGCGGCCTCAAAACACTGACACTCCTTGATGACGGTATCGACTGTGTTGCAGTCCTTGCATATGAGAAGGTTGAATGCATCATCTGCAATGCATTTCAATATGTGTGCTACTTTTTCGGTTTCTTCCATGCCATTGTCTGCTTTTCGGCAAAGGGCAAGCACGTCCTGTATATAAGTCACGTAGTACTCTGATGACGTTTTCACACGAGATGCCAACTCCTTCTTGGCCGCTGCCTTTCTACCCACAGACTTGCTGAAAAGGGCGCGCATCTTTTCTTTGCACACATCCCAGCTTCCAATTTCATCTTCGTGGTTCTCAAACCACACTTTTGCTGTTCTTTTGAAGTAGAACAGCATATTGGCTAACATAAGAGTTTCATCCCAGAGGTAATTCTTACTTATAGGTTCGTACAATGGCAACCATTCTTCAATGTCGACATCATCCGTGCCACAGAACGTGCCAGGATCTTTTAGCTGTGGAAGGAC